TTTCTATGTAGAAATGTATAGAATGTATGGTATAAATATCGATATATCTATGTCATCAAAGACCATTCCTTTCTTGAACCAGGAGTTCTGATTTTATCAACGTAATTGTGCAACATATTGTAACCCTTGAAGATCCGGGTTAGAAATGATCTTCAGCAACCCATGCTTGTCGTAAGAGGCGAGTGATGTGTGGGTAGGCTCTCAGACCTGGTTGCGACATGTCATCCTATCCTAACTGCATAGATCGATGCTCATGCTATTATTCACTGGATTGTCTGAGTGCGACGTTAAGCAACAAACCAACAACAACAATATCATATCGATTTAACAAATCTTTTAAACCACGAAACCCCTCTTTCTGTATAAAAGTACACAATCCTGTGATTTACATTACGAATGTTTAAGGGCTGCCATGTTTGCTGTCATACTTTCATGAGTGAGTGAGTATGGTTTTACGCCGTTTTGTAGCCATATTTCAGCAATATCACGTCGGAGACACTAGAAATGGGATTCACACATTGTACCCGTGTGGGGAATCGAACCCGTGTCTCCAGTATTAACCACTAGGTTACCCCACCGCCCCTCGTTTAACCGTCAGGCTTCGTCTAAATCTGCTCAAATTATCATCTTGGGTCAATTATTTGCCGACGCTGCTTGGAAAATCCTGCCCTTGGAACTCCAAAATGAACCTCTGCCACGCATTTTTTCCCAACTCCCGAAAATCCCGTGTTGAAATAAATAAGGATTAAATATCATTCACACAAAAATGCATTATAAAAAATGCTCGAAAAGTCAAGGTTCTGTGAATCCAAGATGCCATTGTCATTACCTGCCCTTTACAAGTACCACTGGTGGAAGTCTTGTTTATAAACATGCAAGCTATTCAATCAGCCAACATTGTTTTGAAATGTGGCGGCAGTATTCGTTTTGTCTTAAAACCCTTTTGTTCTTTCTGATGGTCAATGACCCCGGAACCCATGTCACAAAGGCAACCGTGTAACAGCATGTCAAATACACGTGACGGACTCGTATAATTTGCAATGGATTGAAAATTTGAAATCCGTTTAACATTCCCCAACCGCTACTCAGAAAAAAACCCATCTGCATTTTGAAGTAATAGCAGTATTCTGCATCTCGCGACTAGATATGACCTTCAGACTCTGTTGTTAGAGAGTGATGTCACGACATCTGATAACAGTGTTTTAGGGTCAGAGTAATTCGGGAAGACATGACCCTCTAAAACAGTGACAGTGATTGAGTGACTATTCATAATTAAAAATATTCTCTCTTCCCTTGAGCATCCTTGGTGACAAACGCGCAATCCTGTCACGTCATTTGACTAGGTCCATAGAGTGGCCTGCACCGTCAATCAAAAAACCTCCAATAACAATTAAAAATTTGAGGTGTGGCCCGAAGGAATAATTTCACATAACCAGAAAAAAATACCACGTCCCGGCGAATAATTAATCAGAAACAGAGTTGTCTCCCGTTAATGAGCAGTTGGGTATCCTGCAAGGGCGTCTTTTTCGTCCTTGATTATTTAAGCTCTTTAGGGTGACTTTGCTGAAATTTCTTTTGTTTAACTATCGATGAAGGCCAGGGCACCACGCACGGCTATTTCGCTCATTGTCTCGATTAAAGCATTTCTCTTCAATGGGAAACACCAGCTGTCAACAAAGTGCTGGCTCATTATAGTTGGGACATTATTCATTGGGGAATTGGGTCACCGTTATGAGAGGACGTTTTGCAAAATTGTCCTCATAAAAAAAACCACTGTTGAAATCTGTCCCATAGGAAAAGTAGTTTCGCGACAAATAGGATGACGTCACCATCGGAATGCTGCACGTGCTGCACGGTAGTTGTATGTAAGGTTTCGCGTGCACGAACATGTGCGTGCTTGGGAATGCGGGAATGGAGGTGTTTGACTCTTGTTGGTGTGAGCTGTTGTACGAAGAGCGTAATATCTGTCTAGGTTTGTGTATTGTAGTTGAGTGAGTGAGTGAGTGAGTTGAGTTTTGCACTTTTATCAATATTACAGATAACGGAGGAGGCATTACAAATGGGCTTCACACATTTTACCCCTATGGTGATTAAAGTAAGTGATATATCCATCATATATATATATATGATATATGTCCATTCCTATCTAGATGTTTCATTTCAAACACATGGTCCACGTGGTGACTAAGGTGGACTTGACTGTGTACAGGATTTCAATCTAAACAGCCTCAGCTACATGTAGATGTGGGTTGAAATCTTAGCTAATGCATGTTTAGGGCCTCAACAACTGAAACACACGGGCCTAGAGCTGACAAACACAGAGTGAGTGAGTTTAGTTTTACGCAGCACTCAGCAATATTCCAGCTATATGGCGGCGGTCTGTAAATAATCGAGTCTGGACCAGACAATCCAGTGATAAACGCCATGCGCATTGATCTGCTCAATTGGGAACCGATGATATAATTATGTCAACTAAGTCAGCGAGCCTGACCATCCGATCTCGTTAGTCGCCTCTTACGACAAGCATGGGTTACTGAAGATGAATATTCTAACCCGGATCTTCACGGGGAAGCAAGCATGGGTTACTGAAGATCAATATTCTAACCCGGACCTTCACAAGGAGACAAGCATGGGTTACTGAAGATCAATATTCTAACCCGGACCTTCACGGGGAGACAATAAAGCATGGGTTACTGAAGATCAATGTTCTTACCCGGACCTTCACAAGGTGAGGTGAGGTGAAATTGGGTTTAACTTCGTGCTTGAGAATATTTCGCTCATATGACGACGTGCATGCGTGTGTATGTGTATGTGCAGCTGCTTGTACTAGCCCAGACTTAAGCTGGTTTTATAGTGCTAGCCCACTGAGATACCATGCCGCAGTGAAGCATGAATACCCCACTCAGACACATTATACTGACTCCGAGCAGACCAGTCCTTGTTGTACTCATTAATGCCGAGCGCCAGGCAGGGACCAACAAGTACCATATTTTAACGTCTTTGGTACGACGCGGTCGGGGATCGAACCCGCGACCTTCCGCTCTCCGGGTGGACGCTCTGACCACTACACCACGGAGGCGGTGACCTTCACAAGGAGACAAGCATGGGTTACAGAAGATCCATATTTTAACCCGGACCTTCACAAGGAGACAAGCATGGGTTTCTGAAGATCAATATTCTAACCCAGACCTTCACGGGCAGACAAGCATGGGTTTCTGAAGATCAATATTCTAACCCAGACCTTCACGGGCAGGCAAGCATGGGTTACTGAAGATTAATATTCTAACCCGTACCTACACGGGTGAGAAACACAGATCTGGTGTTTTTTTATTCATGTTTAACGTCGCACTCGGCAACCTTTTGACGGCGGTGTGTAAATAATTAAGATTGGGCCAGACAATCCAATGACTGATATCATGACCATCAGCCTACGTAACTTGGATGCGATAATTTTGACCACCTGATCCCGTTGATCGCATCTTACGACAAGCATGGGTTGCTGAAGACCAGTTCCAACCTGGATAAAGCCAGGGTGGAAATGAACCCTGCATGTTTCTGGCTGATACAATGTTATTCAGAGCGTGTTATTGGTCTCCCTGTATGTTTACTGATTCTCAAGAGTGAGTGAGTTTAGTTTTACGCCGCACTCAGCAATATTCCCGCTATATGGCGGCAGTCTGTAAATAATCGAGTCTGGACCAGACAATCCAGTGATTAACAACATGAGCATCGATCTGCACAATTGGGAACCGACGACATGTGTCAACCAAGTCAGCGAGCCTGACCACCCGATCCCGTTAGTCGCCTCTTACGACAAGCATGGGTTACTGAAGACTCATTTTTCCAGATGCTCAATTCAAGAGCCGACTGAAATGGCGACAATGCTCTTTGACTTTGGTGGTGTGGGTCTTGACCTCAGTCGCGTTATCTAGCCCAGGTTCGATTCATTACAGTAACGATATAACTGGAGTATTGCTTTCTGCGACGTATAACAACATGCAACGTCTCACTAGCTGCAAGTACATTTGAGACAACTCGACTAAAACACATCAATTCACTGTGTATCAGTTCACGTCCTTTGCATGAAAGAAATCAATGGTCAAGGTTCGCCTTGAATGGATTGGTTCGCTTGCACAATGGCCATGGTTGTGGATTTCAGCAGCTGCACTTCGGGCTTTCCTCCCCAATATAAACATACCTTCATACTAAAATCTACTGCTGGGGAAGAAAGTATACACTCATGTTTGATGGTGCTAATGGTGTATTTGATATCGGGTAACCTAGTGGTTATAGTATTCGCTAGTCACGCCAAAGAACCGAGTTGGATTCCCTTCATTTCTGGTGTTATCCGCAGTGATATGACTGGCATGTTGCTAAAACCGGTGTAAGCCTAAACTCACTCACTCACTCACAGAGTGTTTGTAGGGTTTCGGTGACTGTTTCCGGATTTGTATAATTCTGATAACGTTTATAATTATTTTTAATGAAATCAAATTTTAGAGTATACATTTCTTACCCGGCAGTTTACTTCAGTGGACTGGGGCGGTGGGGTAGCCTAGTGGTTAAAGTGTTCGCTCGTCACGCCGAAGGACCGGGTTCGATTCCCCACATGGGTACAATGTGTGAAGCCCATTTCTGGTGTCCCCCGCCGTGATATTGCTGGAATATTGCTCAAAGCGGCGTTAAACCCAACTCACTCACTCACTCACTTCAGTGGCCTTGTCCCCTTTTTGAAAGTACCCGTGAAGATCCAGGTTAGATTTGGTCTTCAGCAATTCATGCTTGTCGCTTGTCTTTCGTATTCCAATTGCACAGATTGATGTGCATGATGTTCATCACTGGATTATCTGCTCCAAACTCGATTATATACAGACCGCTGCCAGATGGGTGGAATATGTCTGAGTGCGGCGTTAAACTAAACTCACTCACTCACTCTTTGACTATATTATACCACTCACTCATATCAGCCCAGATGGGAAGGAGGGGGACTGTCAGCCCAGATGGGAAGGAGGGGGACTGCCAGCCCAGATGGGAAGGAGGGGGACTGTCAGCCCAGATGGGAAGTAGGGGGACTGTCAGCCCAGATGGGAAGTAGGGGGACTGTCAGCCCAGATGGGAAGGAGGGGGACTGCCAGCCCAGATGGGAAGGAGGGGGACTGCCAGCCCAGATGGGAAGGAGGGGGACTGCCAGCCCAGATGGGAAGGAGGGGGACTGCCAGCCCAGATGGGAAGGAGGGGGACTGTCAGCCCAGATGGGAAGGAGGGGGACTGTCAGCCCAGATGGGAAGGATGGGGACTGCCAGCCCAGATGGGAAGGAGGGGGACTGCCAGACCAGATGGGAAGGAGGGGGGTCACCAGGCTAGTACGGCGCTAAACAGTAAACAAACAAAACCTTTTTGAAAAATAGTTCATTGTTCTGTCAAATAACGGCAAGGCGCAATGTTTAAACAGACTGGAGACAGATGTTTATCAGTTTTAACATTTAAAAAAAAATAAAAATTTATTTTTATTATTCTTATTTCATTTTTATTTTATTTTATTTTTTTATTTCTTATTTATTTATTTTTTTATTTTTTATTTATTTATTTATTTTTTTTATTTTTTTTTGAGGGGGACATTCCCTTTGCATGGAACATATTTTATGACAGTTGTGCCTCCACTGTCAGGTTGCTGCAGTGATGTTCAAAGAGGCGTAGTAGTGATGTCATCTGTTCTAAGGAAAGTGAAACGTATGATGCTAATTTATTTGATAATTGAGTCAGACATCGAACGTTGGTGGCTGTCTGATTGTTCGTCCATTTTCTCGTTCTTTCACCATAGTGTTATTCATCCTTCATTCCATTCTTTCATTCAGTGATTTCTTTCCAAACATTAACTTTCATTAACAATGCAGTCACAAATCCTATTTCATATTTTGAATGATAAAACGTGAATTATGGCCAACGAAATTAAACATTTCATAAACAATATCAAATATTGATATTTTCGGCTTACAACTCGACATCTTTTGATAAAGGGAAGTTTGATTATTAAACTAATTATTGAAGACAGCTTCGCGAGGCTTGATAAGAGCTGGGAACTCATTTGCATAATTCACGAGATAGCCAATCATTCCTCACGTGTCATTATCCTACTCGCGTGTAATGCTGCCGACACTTGCAGTGTAATACGCGCGACTTCCGCATCAAATTACTCCAAAGAGTTTGCCAATATTTGAAAGTAGAGGATTGAGACGCTGACCGCCTAATGCTGTTTTGATGCTAATGACGGCCATTATTTTCAGTTCATGCTAACCCGAGCGAGAGTTTAGCATTCTTCTCGCTATCGTCGTCTGTTTACCAGTGGATGCACCAGACAAGGTAGGTGATGTGTGATATAGAATAGTGTCATCTATCTGTTGTTTTGCTGCATATCTGTGCTGGTTAGATAACATGTGTCTCTCCGCCCCAGCTGATGCATTGTGGATTAGATTACTCAAGGTCTGTCCGTAGGACGAGTGCTTGAATGAGAGCAGCTCCTGTTTCAAGTAAAAAAAAAATACATTAAAATTAATAAAGGAAGTTTATTTCTCTTCATTTGCAGAACACAGGCCTAGTTTCTCACAAAACAAGTTAATTTTTTAAAGTTTTTATTTTTGCTTTGCTTCATTGACTAAAAGCAGCTCGAGTTTCCAAATACATTCTCAAAAACACAACAAAAAAATCATTTCTCGTTATTGACTTAAATGCGTCTCTGTTTCCAACATTAGTTGTTTTACAATATCAAAGTTGATTTTTATTCTAAAGAGCCCTTGTTTCCTGTTTAAATGTGCAAAAGAAACATGAAATGCATTTCTCGTCATTGATTAAAACAGTTCTTGTTTACAATATAAAGTTTACAAATGTAAGACATCGGAGTTATTTATTGCTCTCAATTAGTATTTTCCGAATGCATAAATAGCTCCGGAATCCACTTCAATCTTTTGATAGGTGTTCTTGAATTTTTGTGTTGCAGTCACCAAGGTCGTTATTTGTTTGCTAAGATATAGGTGGGGTTGATCGTTATCACCAACGTCATCTTTGCTAAGATACATCATCTTAACTTTTTTTGCATATCATCATCAGCATCATCATCATCATCATCATCATCATCATCATCACAAACACACTTGTAACGAACCGGTTTTTATGTAGTGAATTGCGGTTATTACGAACTAGAATAATTTATTAGAGTTCGTTACAATAAACCAGAATTAATGGCCTCCCTGAGTTCGTTAAACAAACCAGTATTAGTGATTCCTCTGAGTTCATTACAACGAACTAGAATTGGAGGTTCCTGAGGGTACGTTACAAGGAACTAGAATTAGTGGTTCCTCTGAGTCCGTCACAACGAACTAGAAGTGGTGGTCCCTCTGAGTTCGTTACCACAAACTAGAATTGGTGGTTCCTGAGAATTCCTTACAACGAACTAGATTTAGTGGTTCATCTGAGTTCGTTACCACGAACTCGAATTGCTGGTCCCTGAGTTCGTTATAACGAACTACATGTACATTTAGCGGTCCCTGAGTTCGTTATAACGAACTACGTGTACATTTAGCGGTCCCTGAGTTCGTTACAGCGAACTACATGTGAGGTGAGGTGAAATTGGGTTTAACGTCGTGCTTGAGAATATTTCGCTCATATGACGACGTGCATGCGTGTGTATGTGTATGTGCGGCTTCTTGTACTAGCCCAGACTTAAGCTGGTTTTATAGTGCTAGCCCACTGACATACCATGTCGCAGTGAAGCATGAATACCCCACTCAGACACATTATACTGACTCCGAGCCGACCAGTCCTTATTGTACCCATTAATGCCGAGCGCCAGACAGGGACCAACAAGTACCATATTTTAACGTGTTTTGGTATGACGCGGTCGGGGATCGAACCCGCGACCTTCCGCTTTCCGGGCGGACGCTCTAACCACTACACCACGGAGGCGGTCGCGAACTACATGTACATTTAGCGGTCCCTGAGTTCGTTATAACGAACTACATGTACATTTAGCGGTCCCTGAGTTCGTTAGAGCGAACTACATGTGCATTTAGCGGTCCCTGAGTTCGTTATAACGAACTACATGTACATTTAGCGGTCCCTGAGTTCGTTACAACCGTAGTTTTCCATACCTGTTAAAATAAATTACGACTCACTTATCGTATACGCTAAAATGTACTATAAAAAGAAGCATCTTCTGTACATACATTCTTCTTACTGATATTGTCCCCAGTATCTCAGTACACCGTTTAAACATAAGCATTCACCAGCTGCATATTTTGTTCATGCTTAAGTATATGAACGCGCCGTTTTCTACAAGTAAAACACACCATATAGTGTTCTGACAAAGAAAACCGTTAAGCACCAGTTTTATATGGTGGGTATTCTCTGTTTCGTGAAGAATATGGTTTATTACTTTGTGTTGCTTCGAGTCGATGTTTACCTGTCCTGATTTGGTTAGAGCCGAGTATTCTCTACACAGATTTGGTTAGAGCCGATTATTCTCTGTACTGATTTGGGTAGAGCCGAAATTTTACTTTCGGATTGGGTTAGATTTTTCTCTGTGCCGATTTGATAAGAACGGTTGGTTTGCTATATAGACTTGGTCAGAACCGATGTTTTGCTTTGCAAAACCAGTGTTTCACAATACTGAGTTATTTAGGGCCCCGACCGTTGCAGGCTTTAGAGCCGATGTTTGGCTTTACACACATTGTAAGAGTGTGTTCGCCCGTACCCTGTCATGTAATACAGTCTGGTGACCCGTACCTTGTCATGTAATAAAGTTTGGTGACCCGTACCCTGTCATGTAATAAAGTCTGGCCACCCGTACCGTAATAAAGTCTTGTCATGTAATAAAAAGTCCTGTCATGTAATAAAGTCTAACCCCGTACCTCCGTCACGTAATAAAGTTTGGTGACGCGTACCTGTCATGTAATAAAGTCTGGCCACCCGTACCCTGTCATGTAATAAAGTCTGTCCACCCGTACCTTGTCATGTAATAAAGTCTGGCCACCCGTACCCTGTCATGTAATAAAGTTTGGCCACCCGTACCCTGTCATGTAATAAAGTCTGTCCACCCGTACCTTGTCATGTAATAAAGTCTGGCCACCTGTAGTCTGGCCACCCTGTACCCTGTCATGTAATAAAGTCTTGGCCACCCGTACCCTGTCATGTAATAAAGTCTGGCCACCCGTACCTGTCATGTAATAAAGTCTGGCCACCCGTACCCTGTCATGTAATAAAGTTTGGTGACCCGTACCCTGTCATGTAATAAAGTCTGTCCACCCGTACCTTGTCATGTAATAAAGTCTGGCCACCTGTACCCTGTCATGTAATAAAGTTTCTGTAATACAGCCACACCTGTACCCTGTCATGTAATAAAGTCTGGCCACCCGTACCCCGTACCCTACCATGTCATGTAATAAAGTCTGGCCACCCGTACCCTGTCATGTAATAAAGTTTGGCCACCCGTACCCTGTCATGTAATAAAGTCTTGCCACCTGTACCCTGTCATGTAATAAAGACTGGCCACCCGTACCCTGTCATGTAATAAAGTATGGCCACCCGTACCCTGTCATGTAATAAAGTCTGGCCACCCGTACCCTGTCATGTAATAAAGTTTAGCCACCCGTACCATGTCATGTAATAAAGTCTGGCCACCTGTACCCTGTCATGTAATAAAGTCTGGCCACCCGTACCCTGTCATGTAATAAAGTTTGGCCACCCGTACGTACCATGTCTGTGTAATAAAGTCTGGCCACCCGTACCCTTGTCATGTAATAAAGTTTAGCCACCCGTACCCTGTCATGTAATAAAGTCTGGCCACCCGTACCCTGTCATGTAATAAAGTCTGGCCACCCGTACCCTGTCATGTAATAAAGTGTAATAAAGTGTAATGGCCACCCGTACCCTGTCATGTAATGTCATGTAATAAAGTATTGTAACCCGTACCCTGTCATGTAATAAAGTCTGGCCACCCGTACCTTGTCATGTACCCTGTACCATGTCATGTAATAAAGTCTGGCCACCCGTACCATGTCATGTAATAAAAACCTGTACCCTGTCATGTAATAAAGTATGGCCACCCGTACCCTGTCATGTAATAAAGTATGGCCACCCGTACCCTGTCATGTAATAAAGTCTGGCCACCCGTACCTTGTCATGTAATAAAGTATGGCCACCCGTACCCTGTCATGTAATAAAGAATGCCACCCGTACCACTGGCCACCCGTACCCTGTCATGTAATAAAAGTCACCCGTGGCCACCCGTACCCTGTCATGTAATAAAGTATTGTAACCCGTACCATGTCACGTAATAAAGTCTGGCCACCCGTACCCTGTCATGTAATAAAACCTGGTCACC